GATAACCAGATATTGAACTGGCCCTAAGTATGTGTACCATATAATAACATTAGCAAAATGGTTGTTAATTTTATTTTACTTGAATTTAACCGAACCGAACGAGACTATCCAACCCGCCATATTTTTTGAATCATAAAATTTTCACAATACGCAGTTGAAACAGTACAGACAAATAAATAAATATTTGGCGCTTACACTTTTGATAGTGCTTGGCCGAGCTTCTCCTCCGATTTGGGGATTGCACCTTGATGTTGTCACACAAATGGGACAGTTTTACGTCGGCTTCGAATAGCAAATGGTTTTAATGAAAAGCTTTTTTTTTATGGGAAAAATATACTCGGAGGGCTGCCATTGTCTGCCTAAGAACGACCGCTTTTAGAAAAAAATCTTTTTTTTTATGTCGCTCGGACCAGGGTTCGAAACCTAAACTTGGCAGTACGAACCTCTAACATTGCCATAGCAAAATTAAATTTTAATTTAATGCAATATTTATATGGTCTCTGTAAATGATAAAAATTTAATTTTCTTAACATAGTCAATTACGATTTAACGATTTATTAAAAACATAACATTTACAACCATAGTTAGGACGATTTTGATATCGTTATTTTAACAAAAGTCAAATTTGTCCTAATTAATATTTACAAAACATTGTTTTGGAATTTGTTCTAAGAATGAAATAAATTGAACAGTAACATTGCCCCTAAAAACACAAAACTATGCTGTTTTAATTGGCTGGACCCACTTGAAGTCTCTCTGAAGTCCACCCTGCAGCTATCGTCAGCATATTTAGCTGGGCCCATACAACCTGCGTAGCTCATAACATATGCCACGTAGTGCTGCTCGAAAACGCCACGAATCAGATTCGCACTCGGCCCATTTGCGAATACTATAACATCCTCACCACCATGAGTCTCATCCTTTAACGGCAATGTGGCTCTGTGACGATATGTCGGTGACATACGTTGTTGCGCTGTGAATGACTCAAGAGGTAACCAAACAGTCCCAGCCGCTCCAACACTACCATTCGCTAAATGATCGTAATATCCTGGACCATTAGCGTACGAAATAGTCTCGTACACTATGCGATCAGTGGTCTTGTTGGCGAAGCCGAGAATATCAGATCCTCGTGTTGGGTAACCATTAAGCGTAACCGCGTGGGAGTGGTCGGCTGTTACAAGAATAAGAGTCTCATCGTCGTCGGTGAGATCTAGCGCTCCTTGAACTGCCATATCAAATTCGAGTACCTCTCGCATGGCAGCGCGAGCGTAGTTCTGGTGATGTGCCTGATCGATACGACCACCTTCCACCATGAGCACGAAACCCTGAAAATGAAATTTAAGTTGCGGTAAATGGTAACGTGATATCTGTATGTTTTCACCTTAGATTTGTCACCACGCTGGAGCACTTTTATAGCTGCCTGTGTCATCTCTTTTAAAGAGGGTTCACCGTCTTGACGTCCAACTGCATAAGTTATGTGGTTGTTGCGGAAAAGACCCATCAAGTAATCCGTTTCTTGAAAGTTGACCTCATTTAGCTCCTCCAGGGATTGTACAAACACACTCGATTCGTTATTGTGATGTTTTAGCCATTCCTGCACCAGGTTGCGACCATCTCCGCGAATGCAAACTATCTCGTTATCACCTTCGAAGCGAACCGTGTTCGGCTCGTTGGCGCGCGGTACACCCATCGGCGACAATCCACCTCCCATAATTACATTTAATTTATTTCCAGGCGCATTTTCAACTAATTGGCGGGCGACGTCTGCATACTTTCCTACTGATTCTGCTGGTACAAGGGTGTCGCACTCCCAGTCGCGATTGTAGATGTGTGCATAGGTGGCAGACGGTGTGGCATGGGTGATGCGAGTCGTGGTTACGACGCCAGTGCGTTTGCCCTCTGCTTGTGCCCAGTCCATTATAGACTTCAAACGTCCTTGATTGCTATTCGTTTTAGAACGTGTCGTATCCAAGCCAATGACGCCATAGTCAGTTTTGCTACCACAAAACAATGCAGTTGCCGTTCCAGCAGAATCAGGCACTTGTTTATCCACATTATAGGTCTATAAGCATGACTTATTACAAACTAGTACCTAGTGAAAATCGTATTTCTTATCTCACCTTGGACAATCCAGTGTAGGGAAATTCGTCAAATGCCAACAATTCTTCTTCACCAGAACCATGCTTCAGGTACTGTCCCTTAAAAATGCGTCCAGCTGTTATGGTTGATAATCCCATGCCATCACCGACGAAGATTATTATATTCTTGGCCTTATGAGTTTTCTCTTGCGACTTTTTGGCTACCTTTAGGTTCTTCCTAAGTTGTTTCATAGCGATTTCATGCCAAAATGCTTTATCTATAATAGAAAATGAAAAATATAAATGATCTGTAAGCAAACTATGTGAATATGATTTTGTAGTCCTACTTAAAGGCCCCGAACAATTTGAGATCTTATGAGCCGTTTTGTGACATATGTATTAGGGCGTGTCGAAAGTCTAATTTTTCTCAAGTTCCTTGGTAAAGTGAAAATATATTGTATCATGAAGTCAACAACAAGCCTGCAAAATATTGGTCTTTTATTTTTAATGTAGGAGCCCGCGAATCAACCGCCAAGTAACACACAGCACACTAGTCGAATAAGACCGATTCTTGTTAAAAATTCTGGATTCAGCAATAGGGTTTGGTACATATTATTAGATAATGAATCCGTTAACGCAAAAGTCAAATATCATTTCTCGCAGCCCTTTAACTTATCGTTAATCTCAAACTTTTCTTTTTGATGTGTATACATCTTTGGTTTCGGTAGGGTAAAATTTGCGAAGCTGTAACGCATAGCCCAGGAGAAAATTTCGAAGGGCTTAGCATGTGTAATGCAGCAGAAAATTTTTAATTTCAGTAGAAGCACCCTGTGTTTACTTGCTATTGCAAATGGTTGCATACATTTAGGCATATGCAGAGTAAGAGGAAATGCGGTTCAAATGATTATTACTTCCGACTATGTACCTATATTAATACATAGCCAAGTTTGTATGTACATACATATGCATGAACTCATTTGTTGCAAGTGGTTTCGATATTCGTAGCATGGATTTGGGCATAGGTTTAGTGGTCTATTAATAAAAAAAGAAGGCGAAAATTTTAACAATTCTGAAAACATTTTAACTGGGTCCGTTGAAAGCTGATGAACATATAAGGACATATGTATATATACATATGTATTATATAATAGCTCTGATCCAATACTTTTCGTGTAAAATCCTGTTAAAACGTCAAACGGCAAAACTACTATATTAAGCGAGAGTAAAAAGTGAGTAACAGGAAAATGTACGGGAACAAAAAAAGCATCGAGTAAAATCTTGCAACTTCATTTTCTACACAACTCTCCAAAAATCGCTCTCATTACAGAATTTTGGAGTACGCGATCATTTTTCCCGTAACTTCATGCAAGGTCGTGTAAACACCTGTAAGTTCATTGAGTACTTGATCAGAGCTAATATAAGATTGCCCAAAGAGAAGACGAGAGTAATATAAAAAGCCGAAGAAATGAATTTAGCTTCCCATTTTGCAAACAAAATATATATGTACTAGCTTATACCCGCGGGTTTCACCCCGCACTTTTATACAAATAGGAAAAATAATTTAATGATGTTAGATTTTATTTCTGTGCCCATTGCGTTATAGCTCGTTATTTTCTAAGCGAGTCAGGGTATTTAGGCCGTTTAAAACTATGAAATTATAAAATCTCCTCTCTCCTCCCTCTAAGTTTACCTTAAAAGGTTTCCTGGTATACGACGCGTGAACGTGAAACCTTCTTGGAGGTTCCACGGCGAGTTCTAATATTTCCAACTCAAATTTAGTAACCTGGCCTTGATAAAATACCACTCCTCATTACTGTAGCAAATGCCTCAAGAGAGCTTTAGATTATAAGGTCGAACCCGGCTCTCCCTTTTCCATTTAATGAAATTTATTCTGTCTTCCACAAACACTTCCAGGGATATGTGGCAAGAAAAAGTAAATTTGTACTGGAAGTGCCACGCCCCTTTTTCTTATAACCCTAATCTTCTTCCATGAATTTAGAATTGATTTTACATACCCCAGTACCAAGTCCCAGTACTCTGAACACCTCTAGAGATAAGCAGTATAAAACAGTAAATTTGTACGGCAGTACCATCTCCCCTTTTCGAATAACACAAATTCTTCTCTATGAGTATGGAATTAATTTTGTATACACATCTCGGTGCCAAGTTCCAGTCCTCTGCAATAAACACCTCCAGAGATATGCAGCATAGAAAAATCAATTTGCATGGGAGTTGCCACACCACCTTTTCCAATAACTCTCATTTTTCTCCATGAGTATGGTATTAGTTTCACACACATACATGCATACATATGTATTTTCATACCAAGCTTGAGTGCTTTACCCCAAACATTTGAAGAGATATGCAATATGAAACTTTCAGTCAGTATGGGAGGTGCTACGCCTCTTTTCCAAAAACGTTCATTTTTCTCCGTGAATATGAACATGATTTCACACAGTGTTGGCAAACTATTAATCTGATTAACGATTAAAAATTAACGATTAAAATGTTAATCGCGTTTAACGATTAAAATTAATTAGTCGTAATCAACTGTACGATTAATGATAACATTTTTTTAATAGTTAATCGTTAATCGCTGGCTGCGATTACGTTTAATTAATTTAAAACATTAATCGTTAATCCAATTAAAAATAAAATCTGATTAATTTGTCTAGTTTGTCCGAGTTTGAAACCAAACACCAGTTATAGTAATTATTTTGTGTTTTACGCTTATAAAAAGCACGTAATATAAAAAAATAATAATTATTATTATTAGTAATACATAAACTGGGAACTTTTACAAACCTAGTTTGTAAAACGTTTGTTGGTATACATATATCTTATTGAAAATGCACACCAAATTGCTTAGATTGATGAGGAAACCCGACTTAGCCATACTGGATTAACTTGCTTTGTGTGCACAGGAAAATTCCAGCATAACTTAATTAATCACCAAACCTACTTGGTCAAATTAAGAGTTAATGATTAAAAATTAATTTTTTAATCGCGGTTACGGTTAACTGTTTAGTCGGATTAAAATTAATCATGATTGACTGTAATCAGATTGAATTTAATCGAATTAATTAACTGATTAAAACTTCAACCGATTAATGGCAACATTGATTTCACATACATATCACTATACCAAGTTTCAGTTCTCTCCCACAAATACTTCCAGAGATATGTATGTAATATGAAAATTCCAATTTGTATGGGAGGGGCCTTGAGTTATCGGACTTACTTTCAGTCTAAGACCATCCTTCCGAAATGCGTAGTAAGTGTACTAAATTTCGTTCTGATCGGAAACCCGGTTAAGGAAGTAGCCCATTTTTCAGTCCAGGTCATAAACCATCTTTAATCGAAATTTCATTTTCAAACAGGTGGCAATTCTTAAAAAAGTAGCCTATTTTCCAGTCTATGTCATAAGCTATCTGTGTGCATAGTTTCATGTAAATCAGTTCAGGCATTTCCACGTATTAACTTAATTAAAGTTTCCTAATACGTGATAACTCTTCAAATAGTAGCCTATTTTCCAACATAGGTCATAAGCTATCTCTGTGCGAAATGTCATGTAAATCTGTTCAGTCGTTTCCGCGTATTAATTTAATTAAAACTTTTTTAACAGTAGGTCATATGCTATCTGCTTGCAAAATTTGATGCAAATCCGTTCAGACTTTTCCGCGTATTAATTTAATTAAACTTTTTTAGCAGGTGGTAACTCTCGTCGGCCGCTGGGGTGTAGTGGTAAGAAGTGCGCGCTTTCACTCATCAGCACTTGGGTTCAAGCCCTGGTCAAAGCAACACCGCAAAAAATATCGAAAAAGATTTTTCTTATCAGCGTTCGTCCCTCGGCAGCCAATGGCAAACCTCCGAGTGTATTTCTGCCATGAAAAAACAGCTTCTCATAAAAATACAATCGCCCTTCGGAGTCGTCGTAAAACTGTAGGTCCCTCCGCTTTGTGTGACAACATCAAGGCGCACGCCACAAGTCGGAGGAGAAGCTCGGCCAAACCCTAACATGTGTGTAAGCGCCAATCTATTATTACACTATGCGACAGTCAAAATCGGGATGGGATGAAACCAACGGGAAATGTTATATCGGTGAAAAACAAGTTATACGTGTCCCGGCGTTTCGCTGGGTCACGTCTAGGAATCGAGATATATATATAACTATCATATTGGGGAAATTGTCACCTTTGGTGGTCTTTTTTTGACATGACTCGAGAACCACTAGTCCGATTTTGCTCAAACAAAAAAATTAAAAATTACAATTCCTTTAATCTGTTCATATAACGTTTTTCTATATAATCAACATTTGGCCAACATTTTTGCCTAAAATATTACATTTTTTTAAAACTGTTGATTATATAGAAAAACGTTATATGAACAGATTAAAGGAATTGTAATTTTTAATTTTTTTGTTTGAGCAAAATCGGACTAGTGGTTCTCGAGTCATGTCAAAAAAA